CTATGGCACTAATAGGCCCGTGGTTTTTAGGAAGACATATTTGCTTTTTTTTCTTTGTTTTATGAATCACCTACTCATGACTTATGCCCTTTTTAAGGGGTGTATTTTAGTGTCTGCCTGTACTGTGTGTTCCTCTGTAACCCAGAGGGACTGCCCAGCTCCATTCTTCTGGGGTGAGCAGGAGCTTGTTTGAAAATGCCTGGGTGCAGGGCAGGGCACTGTGGCACCAGTGGGGGCTGTGCTTCACACCAGCCATGCCCGGGCAGCCTGGCGATGCTTGGGGGACTCAGTATGTCCAGTGGTACCTGCTGTGCCTCAGGATTGTGGCAGGTGGCTATGCCCACAAAAATGTCACACACTGGGTGGGAGATGGGGAACAGTGGGCTGCTGACCCTCAGAACCAGCTGTGGCTGCAGATGCCCCCTTACCACGTGAACATCGGGGTGCTTCTCTGTTCAGCAAGGCTCTAGAAGGACATGGTTCTGTGATGTCTCCCCGCTTCCCAGCACACTGTGGGTTCATGTTTCACTGTGGCACTGCCACGTGGCATATGCTAGTGGGATTGGTGTGGCCAGAGCACCTCGGGGCCCACCTAATCTCCCTCTGTGTGCAGCAGCAACATTCAAGCCGCCGCAGCCTGGGACCCTGTGCAGTCAGGGCGAGCACAGCCCCTCGACAAAGCTTGGAATGGGAGGTGGCGTCTGTTACTGCATCATTAACCAGCCTGCGCCGATTCAGATTCTTCCTAACTTTAAGGCTTTGATGTACACAATCTTGCATGGACTTAGGCATGGAGAGGAGAATCTAATTTACCAACAGCTGTAGATCTGCCAAACACAAATTGTGCCAAAGGCAAAACGTGTGTTGTGTGTGCTTCTGAAACTGGAAGTGGAGGGGCTGAGACATGGACCTGGAATCCACGTGTGCAAGACATCAGACCTGGAATCCATGTGTGCAAGACAGATCTGGAATCCACGTGTGCAGACCTTGCCAGGCGGTCTCCCTAGATTCCTGTCGCCTGCCTGGAATCCACGTGTGCAGACCTTGCCAGGAGGTCTCCCTAGATTCCTGTTGCCTGCCTGGAATCCACGTGCGCAGACCTTGCCAGGAGGTCTCCCTAGATTCCTGTCGCCTGCCTGGAATCCACGTGTGCAGACCTTGCCAGGAGGTCTCCCTAGATTCCTGTCGCCTGCCTGGAATCCACGTGTGCAGACCTTGCCAGGCGGTCTCCCTAGATTCCTGTTCCCTGTCTTGCACATTGTCTCAAGGGAGGAATTGCATCCTCCTTAGCCAGTTGTGCTAATGCAATAGCCCATTCTACATCTTCAGTGCCCAGAGAGGAGTAGACAGGCCCCTGCTGCTGGAACCCAGGGAGAGGGAGTTTCCTGCTGTCATTTACTACAGCCTGTTTGGGGCTGAATTGTGTCCCCAAGATTCCTGTGTTGAAGGGCTCACCCCCAGCATTTCGGGATGTACCTGGAGATAAGGTCGTCAATGAGGTAATTAAGGTAAGGTAAGGCCATCAGGGTTGGCCCCAGTTCCACACAACGGTTGTCCTTAATAAGAAGAGATCAGAACACAGACACCCACAGAGGGATGACCATGTGAAGATTCAGGGGAGACGAGCTGCCAGGGAGGAGGCCTCAGAGCAAAGCGGCCCTGCCGACACGGCCTCCAGAACTGTGCAGAAACAATGGCCGTCAGGAAATTAAAACACCGTCACTTCTATCTTTCTAGAAGGCTGCAGCATTGGTTTTCTATTTAGTCATTCTATTGAATTTTCACAAAAAAGCGAGGTAGTTTATAATTTAGTTCTTTTGTCTTACTTTTCAAGATTAGTTTTATAGCCCCAGTTATTCTCTACAGTTTGCCATCACAATAATTAAGTCAGTTGTTTAAATGTCATTCACTTATTCACTTCATCCATTCCTTTATCCATCCACCCATTCACACTTGTACCCATGCGGCCATCCATTCATTTATTCACTCATCCATGAATCCCACCCACATAGACTCCACTCATCCATCCACCCACCCACCTATTCATTCACCCATCCAGCCATTCAATCATCATTGGCCTATCCATTTATCACCCACCCACCCATTTATTCATTATCCACCCAGGCATCCATTCATCATCCACTCACTGATCCATCCACTCACCCGTTCATCCATCTGTCCATCCTCTCATTCAGTCATCATTCATCTATCCATCCATTATCCACATAATCAGTCACACACACATTCGTCATCCACCTACTCATCCACCCGTCCACCCATCTATCCATTCCTCATCCATCCACCCACTCATCATCCACCCATTCACCTACGCCCATCCATCTGTTATCCACCCATCAATCCACCCATTCATCATCTACCCATCCACCCGTCCATCCATTCACCCATCCATCCATCTATCCTCCCTCTTACCTACTCACTCATCCATAATCAGAACTCACCCCTCTTTCCCAGATTTCTCTCCACCTACCTTTTATCTCCCCCAGAACATTTCCTCATTATGTCAGGTTGTTGCTCTCTTTTGTGTTCTCACAGATTCACCTCCAAGATTTTTGTGGGCACAGCACAGCCACCTGCCACAATCCTGAGACACAGAAGGTACCACTGCTGTGGAGGTGCCACTGCTGAGGAGGACTGTGCTGTGGCTCCACTGTGTCCTCACAGCTGAGCCACGGAGAGCCCAGAGCTGCTGCAGTACCTTTAATTTAATCCTGTCTCACAATGGTGGGAGGAGGGAGAGCAGGTGGTATCCATCTGGGCCTCTAGTGGAACAAGGGACTGAGTCCCCCAAGTATTGCCAGACTGTCCAGGCATGGCTAATGTCAAGAAGAGTCCCCACTGGTGCCACATTGCCCTGCCCTGCACCCAGTCACTTTCAGATAAGCTCCTGCACATCCGGAAGAAAGTAGCTGGGCAGCCCATCTGAGGGTTACAGAGAAGCACAAAGTGAAGGCAGACACTTAAATACACCGAGATTCTAAGTCATTTGCTTCTTTATCTTCCTAACTCAAATACAACTTTATAAAGTCAGGAAGAACATCTTATTCATGTTCACCCTTGTCAAGCACAAAACTTGACCTTAAAGAAGTTCTCAGTAATTATTTGGTTTATTCAAAAATAAATAAAAGAAATACGAGTCATTTATTTTACTTAATCAATATAAGCGATATCCACTGCGCTATATTATTAGGCTTCTTTTTAAACCTTTGTGTTGTTTCATTTTTCCATCACCACGACACAATCCCAAATCTAGCTGGAAAGAAAACATGCATTCTTTCCAACCGTGATTGGTCAAAGCAACGTTATTCCAGTGTTTGTTTAATCTCCCTAAATTGTTGTTTCCCTAAATTGACTGAATTAGCTGGTTCACCCTGTTGAAATCTCTGTCTCTAACTAAACAGGAAAGCACGTTGCATCATTTTCTGGGGAAACTTTGTTCCTGCAGGTTGGGAGCATTTGGCAATATTCACATGGCCTCTAGAAAATACCCAAGTGTGTTCACCGACCTTCACCACTCAGACTAGGGAACTCCACCTGGTGAGGGAAACCACGTATTCCAATGTGTGTAGATCCCACAGCTTTTTATAGAAACTGATAATTTTGAACCTAATTCAAGTATTGGGCTTAGAAAAGTACCATTTTTTAAAAAACTTATTTTCCTAGGGAAACTGTGTTACATTTTGCTATCTTTGTGTGACAGCCTATTTTGAGATACAAAGAACTTAGCTTAGCAATCCTAGTATCCACGTGGGTAATGTCCACCAACCAGGTCCTTCTCTGCTTCCAGACGTGGTCTGGCTTGGGCCCGCCATGCCTGGCTGGCAGCCCCGCCACCCCTGATCATGACACGGCCCTGGGCCTGTGATGTGCTCTTGCTGGCTTGTGTTTTATAGAGCGCGTCAGCCTGAGGGCATCTTGCCATCTGTGAATCTCACTGGAAGGTCAGAACGCCGTGATCCAGAATACCCCCCACCCAGAGACCCAGCGCAAGGACTAGAGTCATTTTCCTTTCAGTAACGTGAATACAGGCTCCCATTCTGCCGTCAGCAAGCGGAAGGTGAACACCAGGGGAGAGGCCACGGTTTGGAATGAGATGAGCTGAGATGAGCTTGCACCTTAGGACATTTTTCAAAGGAAGCATCTTGTTTGGACCGGATCGTTGCTGGGAAGGTCACAGGCCTGCAGGGAGCACGAGCGTGTCTTCACTGCTCACCACGTGGGTTCCTGAGTGCGTCACGTGCAGGACAGTGAAAAATTCATTTCGCTGCAGATGGAGGTTGAGAGGCAGACACGGGCACTGGGCATTGACGGAGAACTGAGGGAAGGTGGGCGATGGGTGCTGTGACTGCAGGCCTCGTGGGGAAGACACGGCAACGCGGACGCGCAGCCTTCAAGGTGACGTGTCCACCGGGTTTTCCGTCCGTCCGTCCGGGGCTTCCGTCTCTGCTCGGGTTTTCCATCCGGGCTCCCGCTCCCACTCCCGCTCCGGGTTTTCCGTCCGTCCGGGGCTTCCGTCTCTGCTCCGGGTTTTCTGTCCCGGGCTCTCGTTTCCACTCTGGGTTTTCTGTCCGGGGCCTCCGCTCCCGCTCCCGCTCCGGGTTTTCCGTCCGGGGGCTCCTGCTTCCCCTCCGGGTTTTCCATCCGGAGCTCCCGCTCCTGCTCCAGGGTTTCCGTCAGGGGGCTCCCGCTCCCGCTTCCGCTCCGGGTTTTCCGTCCCGGGCTCCTGCTCCTGCTGCCACTCCGGGTTTTCCATCTGGGGCTTTCGTCTCTGCTCCGGGTTTTCCGTCCGGGGCTCTTGTTCCCGCTCCCACTCCCACTCCGGGTTTTCCATCCGGGGCTTTCGTCTCTGTTCCAGGTTTTCCGCTCCCGCTCCGGGGTTTCCATCCGGGGCTCTCGTTTCCGCTCCCGCTCCGGGTTTTCCATCCGGGACTTTCGTTTCTGTTCCAGGTTTTCCGGGTTTTCCATCGGGGCTTCCGTCTCTGTTCCAGGTTTTCCGCTTCCGCTCCCGCTCCGGGTTTCCGTCCCGGGCTCCTTCTCCTGCTGCCACTCCAAGTTTTCCGTCCGGGGCTCTCGTTCCCGCTCCCGCTCCGGGTTTTCCATCCGGGGCTTTCGTCTCTGTTCCAGGTTTTCCGCTCCCACTCCGGGTTTTCCATCCGGGGCTTTCGTCTCTGTTCCAGGTTTTCCGCTCCCGCTCTGGGTTCTCCATCCGGGGCTCTCGTTCCCGCTCCCGCTCTGGGTTTTCCATCCGGGGCTTTCGTGTCTGTTCCAGGTTTTCCATTCCCGCTCCGGGTTTTCCATCCGGGACTTTCGTTTCTGTTCCAGGTTTTCCGCTCCCGCTCCGGGTTTTCCATCCGGGGCTTTCGTGTCTGTTCCAGGTTTTCCATTCCCGCTCCGGGTTTTCCATCCGGGACTTTCGTTTCTGTTCCAGGTTTTCCGCTCCCGCTCCGGGTTTTCCATCCGGGGCTTTCATCTCTGTTCCAGGTTTTCCGCTCCCGCTCAGGGTTCTCCATCCGGGGCTTTCGTTTCCGCTGATGTGAATATGGACGAATCGTACGTGTGCCGTGACCTTCCAAATACCCTGAGAAATACACTCAAGTCAGCAAAGCATCTTCCAAACACCACTGAGTTCAGAAACGAACCGAGACCTGTACCCGAGGAACGTGCTGAACCTCGTGCTCGTTACTGGCGACTGCGGCATGTTCCATCAGAACGCTGAGCAAACCCGTGAGTTCCGGGGCCTGCGGAGGCAGCTGAGAACTGAGGAACCGTTTTCCAAAAGTGCGGCTCTCGAATTGTTTCTCACATTGACCAAGCCGTGGGTCCTTTGTGTATGTGTCACTTTAACAAAAGCCAGATGTTTCGTTTTATTTCTCTTTAGGAATGGCACATTTATTTCTAACAAGTCTTCCAAACTGCCCCCTTTCCTTGCCTTTTAGCAGGTTGTGAGATGGTGCCGGCATTTCAGAAAAGTCGCAGAGTTATTTGTTCATAAGTCACCAAATACCAGTATTCTGAACACAGGATATGGAATTGAAGCTATCAGAATATTTAATCAATCAGATGAGCACCATAACCTCTTAACAATCACTCAACTTTCAGTTATCCCTTGTGACAATTTAAATTTCCTAAAATTATGAATACTTATGTGATTATCCTTATTGCTTACATCAAGGAAGGTTTTATTTCTATGAAACACCCACCTTCAACATTACACTGTAAAGAAAAATTGTACTAAAACTTAGAAGATTTCTACACAAATGCAAAGAATTCAGATCCGGGATTCCATCTTTTATTGTAACGCATACTTGATCTGGTGATATTCTGAATGTGATGTGGACTGACAGGTCGTTTAGAAACTGCCAGAACCAGGGACTCTCCACACTTCATGGAGCAGCTGAAAGGGGCTTGAGCACGGCTTGGGCCTTCTGACGCCAGAGTCATCACGGATGTTCGGGACCCCTCGGCCCCTGGTGCAGACCGCCTGGGGCTGGATGCTGTTTATGTGAGTTGGGCTGATGGCTGAGACCACGTGGATGCACATGGCCAGTTAGAGCGCTTCACTAAGTTATGACTGAGATCAGAGCTCTCGGTCCCTGCTGTGATCAGCTCCTCTCCCTGTGAAGCAGTCAGTCGTGGTCCTGATCTGCCCTCTGTGCTGCCCAGCGAATCGCACCTGCTTCCTGTTTTCATTTGGGGAGGGCACGCGCACCCTACCTTGGAAGCACTGACGTTCGAGGAGTTATGCATGGGCTCCTGATTAACCCTGAGCCAGTGAGCTTAGCTGCCTGGGTGGGCTGGTAATTAGCGGCACGGAGGTTTACAGGAGAATGTACTGCATAGGTCATGAAGAAACGAAAACTCGAAAAAGATGTGTAGTTAAAGCATGTGCTCCTGCAGGTGGTGGGCATGTGCAGTCACTCTGCCTGCAATAGCAGTGGCAGGAGAGCCACAGGGACCCCTACAATCCCTTGTGCCCAAGGAGAGTATGTGGTGGGGTGGTGTCACCACAATTCAAAAGCACAGCATTGATTTTATACCATAAAAAACTTCTGGTGTTCCAGTCATTCATACATTCCCCACAATATGGAATTAGGAGGGACGTGGGGAAATGGGAGTCTAGGGAAAAGCAACTTTTCAACGCTGCATCCAACAGCAATTTAATGCCTGGTTCTGTCCAGTCTTCCTTCTTGTGAAGAGTGTGATGTTGAAGTTACCACCACTTCTCCACTTTTTTTTTTTTTGAGACAGAGTTTCGCTCTTGTTACCCAGGCTGGAGTGCAATGGCGCGATCTCGGCTCACCGCAACCTCCGCCTCCTGGGCTCAGGCAATTCTCCTGCCTCAGCCTCCCGAGTAGCTGGGATTACAGGCACGAGCCACTATGCCCAGCTAATTTTTTGTATTTTTAGTAGAGACGGTGTTTCACCATGGTGAGCAGGATGGTCTCGATCTCTTGACCTCGTGATCCACCCGCCTCGGCCTCCCAAAGTGACTTCTCCACTTTTAAAAAGACATGGCTCAAACGTCTAAAGGTCAGGAGAGTTGACCTGTTGTGAGAAGATGGCTCTTTGCTGGCATACGTCGCCCCTGTTGGTGTGGGTCCCTGGTCAGGAGACCGTTTCACGTCATTAGCTTATAGAAACGTGAGGCACAGGGGAAGGGCATCTCACCCCTCGGTAGGTTCTAGAGTCACCTGGAGAAGTGAGTCGTCGTCAGCAGTGCCTTGGAAACCAGTCCCTTCAAGTGAATGCACAGCCGTGTTTAGGGCCACTTTGGACCTGAGCACCGGTCTTGGCCCCACATAGCAGCTTTTCCAGCAGTGCAGGAACTCGCCCGTGTGTCTTTAGCTGCAGCCAAGCTGAACCTGCCACATTGTGTTTAGAGGCCTCCTTGTGTGAAGAACCTGTTTCCTTAAATAGGAGACTCCAGGAACCACATGGTCTGGTGCTCACAGCCTGACAGGAGCCTTGCCAAGGGACACACTGCAGTCCCCAGAACCCAGGCTCCCACTTCTACTCAGAAACAGCGGGGACATTAAAATGGTTACTGCTATCTGGGGAGTTTATCAGGGTATGAGAGAGATCCATGTTTATTTCTTAAATTTCAGTTCACGAAATGCCTCCTACATTTGTCTTTGGTTTTATCTGACTTGTATAAACTGGCAAATAACTTACTTGAGTTTGAACAAAGATGAATAATTCTTCAACTTTTACAGGGGAATTTAAGTTTGAATTACAGCATTTTATTTTCAAAACATTTCAAGTCATTTGTTTTAAAATGACTTGAGCTCTAATAAGAGCTGGAAGGTAACACAGGGCTCCCAAACACCCTTCACCCACGTGGTCAGTGTTAAGACCCTGCACGGCCACAGCACGGCCACCAGAACCAGGACATGGACGCAGATCCGAGGCTGCTGACTACGTGTCAGGGCTCATCCCGGTGTCGCCAGCTTTTCCATCTGTGTCCTTTCCTGCCCCAGGACCCAGTCCTGGCACCGTGTAGCCTGCACCCTCGGGGGTCATCAGGCCCCTGAGTCTCCTCTTCCCATCCATGTTGTTCTCTTAAAAAACAAACTTATAAATTATAAAATACAAAAAACAAACAGTACACACACACACACAAACGCACCAGGCACCGAAAGATAAACACTTCATGATCTCCCTCCTATATGGAATTTTTAAAATGTTGAACTCATGGAAACAGAGAGTGGATGGTGGACACCTAGGGTAGGGGGCAGAGGTGGGGGGGGGGCAGGTGCCAGTAGGGGGTAGGTGCGGTAGGTAGGTAGGCAGGTGTGGTGGGGGACAGATGTGGTGTGGGGGCTGGTGCAGTGAGTGGGGAGGTGTCTTGGGGGCAGAAAGATGCTGGTCAAAGGTGAGGGTTTCAGTTGTAGGGTAAAAGCGGAGGATCTAATGTGTAGCTTGGCAACAGTAGTTAACAATACTGTATTGTTTATTTGAAAATTATAGATCTTAAGTGTTGGTATCACACACACAAAACAATGAGTATGTGAGTGCTGTGTATGTTAATTAGCTGGATTTAATCACCCCACAGTATTTACATGTGTCAAAACATCACATGAACATAAATATATGTAATTTTTATTGTTAATTATAGCTTCGTGAAGCTGGGGGTGGGGAAAAAGCTAATGGCAAGTGATAAGGGCAACATCAGGCTGTAGTCTGAAGACCACGGTGCAGTCACACACTGGCCACGTGTCAGGTGAGTGGAGCGAGAGCCCACCCTGGATCCCTTTTCTGTGACGGTCACGGGGAAGGTCCATTCTATGGTGGTCCTGGGTCCCGGCTGGGGAGAGCCTCTTGTCTGTGGACAGAACACGGAATGCCTGCAGGGAGAAAGGTGGCATTTATGTGGAGGCATCCAGCGACACTTGTGATTTGCTGCTTCTCATGCATTGATCAAGGTGTTCAGCTAATCAGATGTCCCCAGGGTATCAAACAGTTCACCGGCACTTACCTTGCCAAAGAAATGGAAGCAGTGCTTGCCGTCTTCTCAGATGCGAGGCCAGACCGCAGGGCTGGTGCCGCCCCTTCAAACGAGGTCTGCTTCCAGCGGGGCCCTGCATTCCCCCATCCTGCTACGAGTGAGTTGGCTTCATGCTGTATGATGCATTCCTTGTAGATTTCTGTCTTGTTTGGAGCTTCTTGATTTTTCTCATAATGGGAGAAAACCTGTATTCTTTCTTCCCAAGGCTAAAGCTGTCCTTTCTCACTGAGTCTGTCCCTGGAATCTCTCAGCTCTGCGTTGCTGGGTGGCCACATCTTCCAAACGCTCCCACCTGACAGAGACGGGGGCTTCGCTCAGATCTTTAGATGCCTCTTTAATTCTTCCATGATGTGACACCCTCAGGTTTTCCATTTCCCTTGTGGAACTCTTCGTTCCCAAGTTCCCCGGCCGTCTCCTCAAAAATGTGTGTGCCGTTCAGTGGGTCTGCTCCAAGCCAGCCCTTCTCAGAGTTTTCCACTCACCTCTCAGCATTTCCAGCAGAACTTACGCTTCTATTTTACTTGGCACATTATTTGTATTGTTTAATTGGTATTAAACACATAATATAATCTAGGTAAAATATATATTTCCAAATGATGGGCACATTTCTCATATTTGTGCTGGATCACGTGGTAAGAGCATCCTAGAGGAGAGACTGGAAAACGCCGCAGAGAGGTGGCGTGGCGGCTCAGCCTCCTGGGGCCGGCCGTGCGCGCAGTCCCCTCTCCCAGGTCCCCATCAGCACTGGGCGTTTTCAAGTGTCCTGTGATGGAAAGGAACGCCTGGTCAGTGTTCAATTCACACCTGAATCCTCTCTTCTCCAAACTCTCCCTTGAGGATTTGCACCACACGCTGAGTATTTTGCCGCACACCTGTCTGACTGTGTGAATTTCCTGTGAGTGCCTTAGCAAAGGACCATGCATGTAGTGGCTTTAAACAACGCAAATCTACTCCATGGGCTCTGGAGGTCACAGATCCAAATGAGCCCATTAGCAGCAAAGCCAGGGGGCAGGGCTGGCTTTGCCTGGAGGCCCCGGGAGACCCTGCTCCTGGCCTCCTGCAGTTTCTGGAGGCTCACAGCCACGCCCCTGGAATCGGCTTCCATCATCGCTTCCCCCTTCCTCCCCCACGGGCTTTCCCACCTGTGTCTTGTAAGGAGCCATGTGCTAACACTGAGGCCAGCAGATAATCCAGGTTAATCTCCCCACCTCTGAATTCTTACCTGAATCCTATCCGCAAAGCCTCTTTTGCCAAGCAGGGCGCAGTCACGGGCTCCGGGGCTGCATCCCCCTTAGACGCTGCTGCTCTGAGCACGCCACTCGTAGAGTCTTTTCCATCCACTTTCTCCCACGAAGAACCCCATTCACTCACATTCCGCCGCCGCATCCCCACTCAGGACTCCCAAATGTGTCTCTTGAAGTTGGACTCCACCCAACGGCTGAAAGTGCATTTCCAAAAGCCCAGGGGCTCACTGCCCACCTGTGCCACGGAACCTCCAGCACAAGGTCCAAGCCTGAGCCTGCCGCTCCGCTTTCCATAACCAGCCTCCCCTCTCTGCCCTTCCTAGGTCAGTGCCTGAGATTATCACTTGCTCAGGCATCAAACCGAAGATGGCTGAGTCCTCAGAGGCTCTGTGCTTTTCTCCTGTTCCCAATCATAACTTGCCATGAGCCATGGAATTCTCCTAATGAGCCTCCAACTGTTGTCCGTGTTCTGTATCCAAACCCCACCCTGCTAGGGACCAGTCTCGGGCCTGTGGAGGGATAATTCACTGTTGACTGATCCCCTCCCGGCTCTTCGGATCTTGAATAACTCATTTGCTACCTTCCCAGGGAACGTTTAAAGGCAAACCATGATATTCTTGGGCCTCAGAACATCTTCTAACAAACAGACTAATATTCAGAAGTCTTTGCATCATGTTATAGAATTTAATTTCAAATTACATAAAGGAAGCATCAGTCACATCTGGAGAGGGAAAAAGTGGAGAAAGACGAAGATGATTTTCAGGAAGTATAAAGGAAAGGGACTTCCGCGGGGCACAAAGAGGCTCAGGTCTCAGGAGAGGGTCTTGAAGACACGCTGTTTTTTTCATTTTCATGATGAGATGCAGCCCGAAAGCAGATCAACCACGAAGACCCGTCATCTCTCAGCTTTTGAAACGCCATCGTGGTGACTAACCTTCCTACTGTGTGTCTCTCCATCTTTGTGGAGACTCTTCGGACGGGTGCATGATGAGGATTGGGGGGGAGAACACTGTCTGCATGCTGGCGAACACGGGCTGGACTGTGCTCATTTTTCACCTCCACAAACTGGAAAAAAGTGTATTTTATCCACCTCATAGTGATAAGAAAACTGAGGGCTGAGTACAGAACGGAACAGGCTCCGAGCTGCAGGCGAGTCCTCGGCGGGCCCGGGAGCTGCACCCATCCCAGTCCCTGCAAGAGTCACATCCCTTTCCACAGGGTAGTTAACCGCAGAGGAAGAGGAAGGCAGTGTCACCAGGGCGATTTAGTTGTTCTTTCTCTCCAGGTAAGTTTTTCCCCTTTTCTTCCTGACCCTCACAGCCAGAGGCCGGACCGCACATGAACCCCGATGACAGGGCACCTTGTTTCTGACCAGTCAGGACGCACAAGAGGCCTGGCACCTGCACAACAGAGCTCCACGGACATTCCTTTCCTGCAAAGAGTGGAGGCCACTCCACCTGCTGGCATCTTGACCGGGTATCAGAGCGTGGAGTCAGCTTATAAGGCGGGTAACTGAGTCCCTGTGAGGCAATTGCGGTGACATTTCAGAAGAGTCACAGCCACAGATAAAGTACCCAACAGTGCAGGTGGCCGAGAAGAGAAAGGAAAGGTCAGTTGTAAAGCTTTTCATTTTTCCATTTTCGGAGAGAAATCCATCATTGAAACTTGAACGTGGTCCAGCAGAGGCTGTCCTTTGGGCCGTTGTGGCAGGTCTGGGTGGCGTCTCTTAGCAAGGCTGGCTGGCTGACTGGTGACCTCGGCTGGAACGCGTGGGTCCTGTACGGTGGGTTCACAGGTCATCGTCCCCTGAGACACATTCCTCCACACGGGCTCACTGGTACTACCTGCTTAACAAAATTACCGGCTCAAAGTAGCCACAGAACCCCCAAGATAAGAAAACAAGGGTTTGAAGTAGAAATGGTGGATTTTGAGTCTTCGGTTTTGTCTTAACAACTTGATTCTGAAATCATTTTGTGGACATAACAATGTTGTAAGAAATAGGCGTTTAGGGGTTTTATTTATCACTTTTTAAAAGGCTAAGTTTCTAATAGTGTTCACTTTTTGCCACACGGATGTATTAGGGGAATCAGATGTTTTTCATTCCCAATCATTATTCCTAGTTAGTCGATACTGTGTGACATTAACAGACATTTAAATGGGCTGTTACTGAGACACTTTGGCAAGAGGAGCAGCCAATGTAAAAACTCTGCCTTTGAATCACCAGGGACTGGGGGGCCTGCTCAGTGTTGCAGCTTCTGTGCATCTCCCGACACGGACGCGACTCTGCCCCACAGACCCCAGGTCTGTGAGAGCCGCCTGCCGCACTGGAGGCTGCGTGAGTCTGCGGGGAGCGGTTCCCACGGCCTGGCCGCTGCTTGACTGCACACTCTGTTTCCTTCCATTAATTTTAGAATGAGAACACTCGCTGTCCTGGCTGCCACGCTGGTTATGGCCTGCACGGAAGCCTTCTTCCCTTTCATCTCGAGAGGCAAGGAACTCGTCTGGGGTAAGCAGCAAGCACGTTGTGGTCTTCTGGCCTCATAAAGTTACTTTTCTCACTCACCAAAATAGAGGGTGTAATGGTAGCTCTTGAGGGTCAGTTTAGGCCGCTGTAGCCTATGTTTTGTTATGCTTCAGAAAAGGATTGTAATTCTTGATTTTAGAAGATTAAAATACTGTACGTTTCTTTCTTTAAAAAGGAACTGATTTTCCTTGGATGACACAAGAGGAAATTTTCACTTTTACCTATTCATATATAGTTTTGAAAAATTTCTTTGGGAGTGTCTTTCTTCTTCTGCTACAAAATTCGTTTTTATTAAATAACTTTTGAGTTTGTTTTCTGGACTCAGGCGCTACAATGTGAAAACAGGTTCAGAAAGCTGCTAAGATGCAGTGGTTAAAATAATCACAGATCAAACTCTTGGCTTATGCTAAATAAATAAACTCTTCACTTTTGCCAAAATGAAGTCCCAACCCTGAGAACACCTTTCACTGGAGCAAAGCCCGTGGGGGCGTCTGCCTGGACATTCCCACCCCACAGACACCACTGGCCCAGGAGCAGGTGACTCCTCACTGGGCAGGTCCCTGGGCCTCTGGACAGTCTTGTGGCCGTGGCGCAGCACTAGGACCTCTGCCCTCGACAGCATTTCCCAGGCATGGAGGCCTCGTCTGTGGTTCAGGGGCACAGGCTCTGGAGCCCTCGCTGCCCCCAGCCACGCCCAGCCCAGCCTCCTGCGGGGTCCAGGCCTGGAGGCCTTGTCTGTGGTTCAGGAGCACAGGCCCTGGAGCCCTTGCTGCCCCCAGCCACGCCCAGCCCAGCCTCCTGCAGGGTCCAGGCCTGGAGGCCTTGTCTGTAGGGGTACAGGCCCTGGAGCCCTCGCTGCCCCCAGCCACGCCCAGCTCAGCCTCCTGCGGGGTCCCAGGCCTGGAGGCCTCGTCTGTGGTTCAGGAGCACAGGCTCTGGAGCCCTCGCTGCCCCCAGCCACGCCCAGCCCAGCCTCCTGCGGGGACACATTTTCTTCCCAATCTCAGGACTTCACAGTCATGTTAGGATCTGCCCTGAAGTCCCCAACAGACTCGAGACTCCTTAGAACTCTCTCCTTCCACTGCCCCCAGGACATGCTGGTCACTGCCCACGCTGAGACGGGGGAAGCCACGGGGGCTTTCCCTGCCAGCTTCTGTCCATGCTGCAAGGATGCGCTACTCACCCCTAATTCCTGCCCCTCACCCGCACATGGATAACCCTGGAAAATTACCCATCACCATCCTTATTCGTGAGCAAGAGTGAGATACTCCATTTAAAGCTGCACGTGCAGTGCCCTGGCAAACACACACACACACACACACACACACATACACACACACACATACACAGACACACACACATACACACACACATACACATACACACATACACATACACACATATACACACACATACACAGACACACACACAGACACACACAGACACACACACATACACAGACACACACACACATACACACACACATATACACAGACACACACATACACAGACACACACATACACAGACACACACATACACATACACACACATATACACACACATACACAGACACACACACATACACACACACATACACACACACATACACACACACAGACACACACAGACACACACACATACACAGACACACACACATACACAGACACACACACATACACAGACACACACATACACACACAGACACATATACACACATACACACACAGACACACATACACATACACACACATACACACACAGACACACATACACACATACACAGACACACATACACATATACACACATGCACACACACATACACATACACACATACACACAGACACACATGCACACATATACACATACACACACATACACATACACACATATACACATACACACACGCACGCACACACATGCACACAAACACATACACACATGCACACACACACACACATACATACACATACAGAGACACACACATACACATACATACACATACACACATACACAGACACACACACATACACATACACACATACACATACAGAGACACACACAGACACACATACACAGACACACACACATACACACACACACAATTAAATCAGAGTCACAGTATCAAGAACCTCAGGAAAAAGTGATTCTGCGTCTTCCCAGAACAAATCGGTCACTCTGTCACCCAGAACATGCTAGGTGCTCAGCCAGTGGTTTGTAAATTAATTACGGTTATTTTATTTCATATGTATTAAGGATCTGAATGGATAAAACCACAGTAAAGCATGTTAGAAGTCAGGAGCTAGTTAGGAGCAAGTCGTTATACTTGAGAGCTACTCAACAAAATATTTAAAACTTTGTAACGTGTTTTTAATTTTAAAAATCACATTTAAAAAGCCACCAGGAATGAAGGATCCACAGCTTTTGCTAAAGCAGTTTTTTAAAATTATTTTTTCGTCTCTGAGACATTTGACGTTTTCCTTTTGCTTACACATTTGCTTAACACGTCACGAGCGCACAGCATGACAGCTGGGTTTCTCCACACACTGGGACACATCCTTCTGCCTGCCCTCTCCAGTATTCCCAAGCTGACTTATTATTTATTTGAAATGTGAATGAGTTACTTAAAAAATGTTATGTGTCTCACAGGCTTTCAATTTTACGTCCTTTAAGAGTTGTTTTGCAGTTTTAAATTCATTTGGAAAATGATGCCCAGTGACTGTGTTTATGACACCTGTGCTCACAGATTCTGTGAAGCAAAAGCCTCGGCCTGCTCCCCAGCCTCTGTGCGGCAGGGCCACGAGGACCCCGGTTCCCCAGGCCATGTACGGTCACCTGTAAGCAGACACTGCTCCCAGGGGTCCTGCTTGGCAGGTGCTTGCCCAGGATTTGTCAGGCACCCATTTTACAGATCAAAACATAGAGGTCTGGAGTGCTCAGAAGTGGCGGGGCTGTGGTCACTCAGCCTCACATCCCAGGCTTCACAGAGAACCAGCACTCATCCTCATACCTGAAGTGGTAAGTGCTCAGTGAGAAGTATCAGGCCAGTGGGGTGGCTCACACCTGTAATCCCAACACTTTGGGGGCCGAGGCAGGAAGATCACTTGAGGCTAGGAGTTCAAGACCAGCCTGACCAACATGGCAAAACCCCATCTCTACTCAAAATACAAAAACAGTAGCTGGGCATGGTGGTGCCCATCTGTCATCCCAGCTACTCAGGAGGCGGAGGCACGAGAATCAGTGGAACCCAGGAGGTGGAGGTTGCAATGCGTGGAGATCATGGCACTGCACTCCAGCCTGGGTGACAGAGTGAGAATCTCAAAGACAGAGAGAGAGAGAGAAGAAAAACATCAGTTCTGGAGAGAGTATATAGGTTTATCAACTTGTCTGTAAATCGTAGGAAGATGTGAATAAGGAGCGAAAGGTCTCGGCAGGTGCTCAGACTGGGAGAGACTCTTGTTCCAGAGCAAGATCTCCCAGGGTCAAACCACAAAGAGAAATGAACTTCAGCACCTGAAAAACTCTGTAACAAGAGGCTTTGAAAATCAAAAAAGATTTCATTTCCCCCCAAAATCTGTGCATGCCCGTTGCCATCTAAGAGAAGTTTGCTCTCAGTCCCTTCTCTAAGGTGCTGCATTGAGTGCTCGTCACTGGGGCCCTGTGTGTTTATCACTACACAGACTGAGCTGCAGTCCAGCATTTGTGTAAAATCAAGATTTATTTGTGATTATCTTTGTGGCAAATGTTCCACAAGTTACAGTGGTTAAAAGAAAATAAGATGCAAATGAGCAACGGGAAGCCGAGGCAGTGCCCGCCGACTGGGAAGACGTGGGATCTTGCCTAGCGAGTGAGTTTGTTTAAAAAGGAAAGTTGGCAAACCTTCCCCCAGTTTACAAATTTCGGCCAAGAGCAATGATTAAAGTGAGGATCAACACACAACTCTGAATGGAAATCAAGTGCTTAGAATCATTCAGGGGCAAAGCTCTGGTCCTGGGGGCTTATGGTTTTGGTGAAGAAAGATTTTGGCTTTCATATATATATATATATATATATATAATTTTTTTTTTAACATGAACAGTCTTTGGAACAAGACAACTTCCTCTTTCTTTCTGAAATACAGTGTGTTCTCACATAATGCATCCCTGAATCCCACCTGTTTAATAAACAATATGAATCTGCATAAAGGAGAATTTGGGGACCCATGCCTTGTGCCTCTCAGAGCAGGAGCCATCTTGAGAAGGCGCAGGCAGAGAGATCGGCCACTTCTGCAGAGCAAGTAACTAAGTCCTGCACCTCCCTAGAATTCCGTGTTCAGTTCTGAAAAACATAAAGGTCAGGTTCAAACCCCGTAAATCTGTGGTCCTTGCATTCGACTCCTCTTCCCTAGGACTGCTTGGCACGAGGAAGGAAGGGCAGCTGCAGGGCTGACGATGGGAAGGGGCTCAAAGCCGACCACCCAGCTCCCTGGTGGCGGGAGAGCTAATGTGAGCTGCTGGAAACTGAAAAGCAGACGCAGGAAAAGCTGTCTGCACCCCCCCTCCCCACCGTTTGCCTAAAAGTAGAACATAGATCCGCAAAAGTGTCCCCTTCCCTCTCTAGCAGAGCCCAGGCCCTCCACAGCCTGGAGCCAGCCCAGAGGCGTTTGTGTGGGGAGCCTGACTGCAGCCCCAGCCTCCCTTCCCGTGCTGCCCCGGAGCGGCCTCCTCACAGTGTGTTTCCCGGGAGCTCAAAGTCCTTTGCTTTGGTCTTGCAGCTTCTTGAAAATGGGGTGTTCTTTTCCTGAGGGGCTGTACAGTGGAGTTCTAACTCTCCCTCCAAGTTCCCATCTCAGGGCGCTCAAGGGGCTCCCTTGTGGAAGCAGGAGGCCAGGTTAGTAACCCGCTGTGGGTTTTCCTCTTGCGAATGTGCCTTTTGTCAGTGGAATTTAAAATGCCCCAGAAAAATCAATCTAAGATGCAGGGAGAGCTGAGGTTCCTTCCTCCCCTCCAGAGGGATGCCAGTTGTCTCTATTCAGCCAAGAAGTAGTTAACCCAAACAGTGAAAACACCTCCGGTTCCAGCAGAGACTTGAGACTATCTGATGAGAATTGTGTGTCTCTGGCAGGAAGTTTTAATACAAAAATGTATTTATTTTATGAAACTTAAAAGACAGTAATAATCTGTAAGCCTATAAAAATATTATTTTAATTCTGTAAAACATTTTCCAATCAGAAAAGAAACTAGAGACTAAGCAATGTGAACGGTTAAACTTAAATAACAATATATTAATATTGATCAATAACAGAAAATGATCTCCTAGTAACTGCCATTTCCAAGCACAGTGGGAAAAGACAAGCATTTCTTTGTATTTAATCAGTTGCTTCCTAAATAATTATCCAGCACCTGCTGAAAACCAGCCTGTGGTCTCAGTCGTGAATAGCGCAGAATTTTGCAGAGCCCTCACTGACAAAATGCACCTACACAGGTGGTGTGAGGACAGAGCTAATTTTTTTTCTGGTTCTTAAAGTTCAGCAGGATCAAAATTTCATAAAGGAAAAGCTGGGAGCTTGAGGTTGACAGTTTCATGAGACGAAGGATAGTCGTGCACTATGTCCTCAGCTCTGCGGCGTGGAGGTCAGTCTTGGCCAGGCTGTGGACGTCCTGAATTCTGAGGAGGGTCTGCGTGCCATCCCGTGGGCATCCAGAGCCTTCAGATGCTTCCATCAAAGGCACAGGCACAGGCAGACCTTGCTCTAGAAAGGTCGCTTGGGTGACAGTAGGAGGGACGGAGGACGGGAGGTGCAGGATCAGTGCAGGAGCCTGTCGAGAGCCTCTTCTAGTGAGAGTTGCAGGTGCCAGGCAGGAGTGAGACGTTCTTCCGGAGGGATTGTGGGGAAGTCAGCACAGCATGGGAAGACCCTGCCTGGGTTTCTTGCTGGGGGACTGGAGTTCGCAGGGTGATTGTTTCAGGCCATTAACCCCCCTCAATGGGGAACAGAGGAGGATGGGGTGGCCCAGGAGAGGCCTTCAAGTTGAAAACAGGCATCTATTTGGGAGAGCATGAAAGGAGGGTGAGAAGAGAGGGTAAAGGTCAGAGGAGCCTGAAAGGAGGCACCTGGGGTGACGCCAAAAGGAGGGAGACCACTGGGGGAAGAGAACCTGGGGCTGCAGCTGACAGAGCGGCCAGAGGCCGAAAGCAAAAGGCGGGACGGTCGGGAGCACTGAGCGCTTGGCAGCCCGAGGTCAAGAGCCCTGCAAACTTCTCTCTAAAGCCATCCTAAGACGTCACTGTGCGCCTAGCAGAGAAAACCGTGCAAGGTGAAGTGATCTGTGCGTCATGCGGAGGCAGATTGGTCTCACTCCAGAGCCCATGGCCGTCACCCCTCTGCCACTTAAGAATGCCAGAACACCCCAAAAGCACCAGAGTCTTGCCTGGGGGGTGAGGAGCAGGGTGGGGGGCACTGCTTTGATAAATAAGCTGCCCTGGCTGACTTCAGAATACAAACTGTGAGTTAAGTTGCCTGGAAATTGCAGTGGGTTTGGAAGGAAATAAGGAAAATAGATGAAAATTCCAGGTTTCTTATACCTCAAGCTTTTGTGGAACAGGAGGTTCCCTGGCTCTTGAGAGCTGAAAGACATCTTGGTAAAGCCCTGAATGCTGGTCCTTGAGGTCTGCCTCTGCCACTGGTCCTGTGATTCCCAGGCTGCCCTTCCTCTCTCTGCTCCTACTGACCCCCAGGGGCATCCGTCCCGCCCCCCCACATTTCACTTCCCTGAGCTCGCCCACGCTGGTGCAAAACTGGGTCCCCTGTTCAAACTCCACACCCAGAACCCACAGCTCTGCTGGCTGTGCTGGGGGTCCCTGATGGAGCTGTGAGCCCAGCTGGGTGCCCCTCCCTCCCTCCTGCCCTTGCTCCAGGAAGCCCTGAAAAGCCTCTGTGCATTGCTCTCTGCCTAACCCCTATGAGGGGTCACCCTCTGCCCCCATTGCTTAACCACTGGTAACTCTTCCCAGAACCCCAAGAGAGATCCGCCATGGAGTTTTCTTAACCTGGCTCTGTCACACCAAGAGAAACTGGGTGGTCCAGGGAATGGATGGGGTGGGGCAGAGTGAGTAGGAAGAAGTGATGGGGGAGTTTGTTTGCTGCCTGGGTGGGGACCAGCATGGAAGGCGCTTGGGGCTGAAGCCCTGAAGAACCTACAGGTGCCTTTCCTGGGCCGACCTCCTGCAGGCACCCGCTGGGCCGTGGGGAGAGCAGGAGCCTGGTGTCCCCTCAGGGTCTTGAATTTGCCTTTGGAATCCATTCATTTCCCTTGACACAGTGCTGCTGCTACACAAGTGAATTCAGCAGCCGTGTGTGAGGATGACCGAAGCACTTGCCGTCTTCCTGTTACCCGTCTAGAACTTCACATTTTTACCCAGAAATGGGATCTTAACCTCTTAAACATTCCAGCTACTACAACAAGCAATATAGGAGTGAGTGTTTTCATTGGAAACTGCTGGCGTAATGGAATCATTTTATCTTTTATTAAGTACACAAATTACGATAGGCAAATCTTATTATCAACTTTACCACTAGTTCAGGTAACCAGTGATAAATATTCAGAGCCTAAGTTGCTCAGAATCATGTGAGTGACTTGGGCCAGTGAGAAATTAAGGTGAGTGACTCACTCGTCCTATCCTCCAGGCAGCTCCGTGCGGGGGGAACGGACGACCCTCTGTATGGGGAATCAAAGGCCCTAGAGGGGAAGCGACCCCCAGGACCTGACCAGCAGCCCTCCCCACCAGAAGCTGTGTGGACATCACCATGGCAGCATGGGCTTGAGGGACAAAGCAACAGTGTCAGGGGATTGCCGAGCTGTCACTGCGCTCTGACTGCGTGATACTCTGTTTCTAGGAAAGCCTGCAGAGTCTCACATTGCCAGCATCCTGGAGGAAAGCAAGTGCCTGGTAGACACCGCCATGTACGCCACGATGCAGAGGTGAGCCCTGCGGAGGGGCCGCCGCCCCCAGTGCTGCCTACAGGCGCATCCCACCGACATCCGCACACGCGTGGCCTGATTTTCACAACTGCAAATGAAAACCTGAAGTTTGCCAGGGCTAATTTACTTTCTCAGTGTCCCGTGTAAGCAGCAGACAGCACCAGTATTTAATCTCCAATTTGTTCTTTAGCAAGACAGAGAGGAATAGCACCGTGATCCAGTCAACACCTACAGATATGATATCCTCTGTGGGTCCAGATCCCTCTGTGGTTACATATTTCCTCGACTGTCAAAAGACAGTAGAGGCTCCTGAGAGCAAAATGGGCCTCTCTCCTCAAGGATGAGGACAGATTAAGGACAAAAGAGAGACCTAGGTCCAGGTCTTTGGTGATGTAACTGTAGCATTACCCAAGGCATATAATAAATAACTAAACGGAGGTCGCTTCCATTTTTTAGATACTTAGCATTTGTAGGTATAGAGCAGACACCAGTGTTAAGGATACTGTGGTCTCATATTACCCATTTAGAAAAAGAAAAGAAAAACAGAAAACCTGTGAAGCAGTTTGTCCTTCCAAGCTTATTATTTTGTAGAAAGTTGACTCATTATTAAATAAGCCCTTGAGACACAAAGTATCAAAAGACAGCAGTTAATGTATTCCAAATTGCTATTATTTCAGCCAGAAAAATACCTTATTGTTCACATTGCCTGCAAACAAATCGTTATTTATTTTATAAAAATTGAATCAAAGGGAAAATAAGGAAAAAAATATTTCTCATAAACTCATTCACACTGTAATATGTGTAAAACGGGCAGGAATTACTTGGGAAGAGGTGGGAGTGGATAGTGGGGTGGGTACCACATGCGTAGTTAGGAGTGTGTGCTGCTCTTGTAGTGGCAATTTGTGAACCCAAGTATTAAGACAGATCTCAATCCATTTAGAACATTTATTTTGCCAAGGTTAGGGAAGTGCCTGTGTCTCAGTGTCAGGAGGTCCTGAGGACATGCACCCACGATGGCCGGGGGAAAGCTTGCTTTTACACACCCTAGAAAGACATAAGACGCCAATCAACACGTGTGAGATGGACGTGGTGGGGAGCTTCTAGGTCGTAAGCAGATGTCACATTTTTCTGATTGGCAGTTGTTTGCAACAATTATATCAATAGGAAGGAATGTCTGGGTTGTGTCAAGGATCGTGGGCACCAAGCTTTTATGATGAAGCCTCCAGGTCAGCAGGCATCGCAGAGAATAGATCGTGAATGTTTCTTATCAGATGTAAGGTCTGTGCTGATGTTGATGCCAGTGGGTAGAATGAGGCATGTCCAGCCCATGACTTTCCCATTGTGGCCTGATCCAGCTTTTCCGGTTAACTTTGGAATGCTCTTGGCTGAGACGAGGAATCCACTCAGGTGGTTAGAGGAGGACATTCAAATCTTATTTTTGGTTTACAAATTGCATGTTACCAGCCCCCCTTTGAAATCAGCGCCTTGATCCTAAGGATGCACTGGAGTGGGGGGAGCCAGGGGAGGTGTCCGCTGCAGAGACTCTTGGCAAGTTTCCCCTTGTGATAGCTCTCAAAAATACCCCATATACCTGTTCCAACTATGTTTCTTTCCTTAAGAAATGCTGTTTCTGCTGAGGACAGTCATTGTTCTAGATGCTGGGATGCAGAGATGAATTAGATCATTTTATATTCTCAAGGTCCCTGCGCCTTCTCTAAAGACAGACACGTGAGTGGCACACTTCATTTAGGGATGGGTTTGTTAAGATCATCAGAAAACAGGATGGCTGGTGGTTAGAGAACTGGCTTTGAGTAAAAGTCTTAATAATAATAAAATACTTTTACCCTTCAAAACACATCTAGTTACTTCAGACCTAAAAAGGAAAACAAAACTTCTCTAAATAATAACATCAGAAGCAAGAGTGTGCCCAAGTTACTTCTTCCACTCGCTCGTGGATGGCGGTGTGGCCCGGGCGTTTGGAAGTGATAGGAAAGCACAGAGCCTGCCTGTGAAAGTGTTTATGAAAAAGGAGCATCTGAGACTCCACACTTCGCCCTCACGCATCCCTGCACTCACCTGGGTAGCGAGGGTCGGGGGTGGAGGACTTTGCTCCCAAGGTAGATGCAGCCAGAGTTTTAGTGTTTGTCCTCATTCCCTGAGACCAGCTCCCACAGAGCAGTGGGAAGGAGACCAGGACAGACTGCACACTGGTGATGGGGCCCTGTACCTGGGGACCCGGATCTTCACCATGTGCAGTGAGCATGCTGGCCCAGGCTCTGGGGAACAGCACCCCTGTTTGACCCGAGAGAGTGCAGTATGTTCTGGAGGAAGATAGGACCTCCAGGAAGGCAGGGGATGGTCCCAGCAGGGCAGCAGGCAGGGGCAGGATCTGCCCATCCACTGTGCCTGGGCCACCTGGCCAGGTATGGCTGGTAGTGAGTGGCCCCATGAGTGTGTGGGGGTGGGGATGAGTGTGGCCTTGACCTGGCAGGCACCCCTCGGACAGGGCAATGTGCATCGATCCCACGGTGGCGGAGAGCGGGCACTGCTGTGAGGAGCAAAGGCCTGTGGACTCACCCAGCTTCCTGCGAGGGCCTCACCAAGACCACACTCCGTTGAGGAACCGACCCTGAATGAGCTAAAACTTGCACTTATTTGCCTTTAAAACAAAGTCTAAACCCCAGTCACTCTGAGCATGCTTTTCTTTTTTCTCGCTCTCTCTGAGGACTGCACAGTTCCTACCTGAGATTTGGTCCCTGAGTAGGGTGGGAGCAACTCCCTCCCTTTCTCCCCTTCCTAATTGTATAATTTCGGCTAGGACAGAAGAAGCATTTGCACGAGGAGGCTGTGGGTCCGGGGAGACCAGAGGCCAGGAAACCACATGCTCCCATCGGTCTCAGTGGCTCACCCATGCTCTCTCCAGGATCATATTCCTTGAGCAGTAAATTGGTTCCTTCTCAGCATTCAGGGAGTGTCTGATACTCAGAATTCCCTGTGAGTTCCAGAGTGTATTCAGCCTGGAGTATCTGCACTTAGATTGGTGATACCGTGTGCGTCCGTTTAGTGTTCACAGTGAAACGTTCTGGGCATTGCTGGGGCAGCAGATAGAACAGCTAAAGGAGCGTTTTTGCTCAATCAAATGAAGCTTCTGGATGGTGTCCACGAGTCAAGTGCGATCCGGAGAATCAGTGTGAACACATGTTCACATGGCTCTGCCTTGGGCTCCACACCACACTAAGGATGCAAAACCAGCTGGAGTCACAGTTCCCCTAACTTGAGTTTGATTTTCAGATATTGTGCTGTAATTAAACGCCTGCAAGTGTCACCCCTTAATATCTTGCTCATGTGCTGAAGCTGAGGTCTTACAGTAGGATGTGTCTGCCTCTGGAATAACTGCCCCTGGGAAGTAGCTGCAGATGAACAGCGCAGACTGCTGTGGCTTGTGGGGTGGTTGAAGCACCTCTCCAGGCTCTCCTGAACTGAGCTCCCTGTAAGCTAAGCTCTGCAGAATGTGGACCCGACAGGACAGTGACGAGCCAGCGAGGGAGAGCCCTCTGGACTGCATGGCAGTGGCAGGGACAGGAAGGACTGGCATGAGCAGCGTGGCCTGGGGACCCATTCAGTGGACCCACTGGGTGAGACGCTCCAGGACATGGTCAGGAGCTGAGCTCTTTCCCAGACCCTTGATTCCCTGATGTAGCCCTTTTGGGGCTAGCTTGTATCGTCCCATGGGCACCAGGTAGAGAAGGGATGAGACAGGTGAGCCCTGGAGTGCGTGTAGGTGATGTTCTAGGAGGCACAGGAAGTGATTGTCATCAGAAGCAGTGCTCTTGGCCTTCAGTTCTCAGAGATTCTGGTTCTTCCTATCAGCCAAATTTCTTGCTCAGATAGATTTTAGATAAATGTCTCCAAGGAAAGCATGCATTCTGGGGAGGGTAACTATCCTGTCCGCCATGCCGGGTCCTGGGGAACCCCACAGGTGCTTATGCTCCGGCTCTGCTGCTGTTGTGACTGACAAAGTCATTTGTTCCTGGTGAGGGGGGGCCTGCAGGTGAGGGGGCTGCAGGTGAGGGGGGGCCTGCAGGTGAGGGGGCTGCAGGTGAGGGGAGGCCTGAAGGTGAGGGGTCTGCAGGTGAGGGGTCTGCAGGTGAGGGGGGCCTTCAGGTGAGGGGGGGCCTGCAGGTGAGGGGAGGCCTTCAGGTGAGGGGGGGCCTGCAGGTGAGGGGAAGCCTTCAGGTGAGGGGGGGCCTGCAGGTGAGGGGGGCCTTCAGGTGAGGGGATGCCTGCATGGGAGGGGGGCCTGCAGGTGAAAGGAGGCCTTCAGGTGAGGGGGGCCTGCAGGTGAGGGGAGGCCTTCAGGTGAGGGGGAGCCTGCAGGTGGGGGGGGGCCTGCAGGTGAGGGGAGGCCTTCAGGTGAGGGGGAGCCTGCAGGTGAGGGGGGGCCTGCAGGTGAGGGGAGGCCTTCAGGTGAGGGGGCTGCAGGTGAGGGGGCTGCAGGTGAGGGAAGATCTGCAGGTGAGGGGAGGCCTGCAGGTGAGGGGGCTGCAGGTGAGGGGGCTGCAGGTGAGGGATCTGCAGGTGAGGGGGCTGCAGGTGATGGGGCTGCAGGTGAGGGGTCTGCAGGTGAGGGGGACTGCAGGTCGGTCTGCAGGTGAGGGGGGCTGCAGGTGAGGGGTCTGTAGGTGAGGGGGGCTGCAGGTGAGGGGGGCTGCAGGTGAGGGGGCTGCAGGTGAGGGGGCTGTAGGTGAGGGGGGCTGCAGGTGAGGGGGCTGCAGGTGAGGGGTCTATAGGTGGGGGGCTGTAGGTGAGGGGGGCTGCAGGTGAGGGGGCTGCAGGTGAGGGGGCTGCAGCTGAGGGGTCTTTAGGTGGGGGGGCTGTAGGTGAGGGGGGCTGCTGGTGAGGGGACTGCAGGTGAGGGGAGGTTTCACAGGTTTCTTTTCTATGAGGGTGTATGTAGCTCTACTGTGAACAGCTTTGCTGCCCCGCCCCGGGGCTGCACTGGAGTGGGAAGGGAAGAAGTTGCAGCCGGGACACAGGTGCCCTCACTAGGCCTTGGCTCTGAGATCAGGTTGAGGCCATGCACTCCCCAGGCTCCTGTTTCCTCAGCTGGGACATAAGCAAATCATGTCTTGGTTTGAATGTGATGGCCTGCAGGCAATTGTTATGAGAATCAAGTTCATTCAGATATTGCAGCTTTGTAAAGGGCAAGGATAGGCCGTTCTCCTCGTCATTCGATACTGATGCTCACTCAGTGACACCCTGTTTCTATTACGAAACCTGATGAGCCCATGAACAGCCACTGCACGTTTTACCTTCGCATGCCCCGCAGTGCCCGTCACATGGTCTGGGACGCAGTAGTTACTCAATAGATGTCCGCTTACTTAAATAGCAATTAGGTACCAAAGCTGCCGTAGACAAATGATCTTCTATATCTTCTTTATGTGCCGCAGAAACCTCAAAAAGAGAGAAATCCTTTCCCCAGCTCAGCTTCTGTCTTTTTCCAAACTTCCTGAGCCAACAAGTGGCGCGATTGCCCGAGCAGCAGAGATAATGGAAACATCAATACAAGCGATGAAAAGAAAAGTCAGCCTGGAAACCCAGCAGTCACAGCACCCCACCGGTAATGCGCGCGCCTCTCCCCAAAACTCAGCAGTCACAGCCCCCACCGGTAATGCGCGCGCCTCTCCCCAAAACTCAGCAGTCACAGCCCCCACCGGTAATGCGCGCGCCTCTCCCCAAAACTCAGCAGTCACAGCCCCCACCGGTAATGCGCGCGCCTCTCCCCAAAACTCAGCAGTCACAGCACCCCACCGGTAATGCGCGCTCCTCTCCCCAAAATTCAGCAGTCACAGCCCCCACCGGTAATGCGCGCGCCTCTCCCCAAAACTCAGCAGTCACAGCCCCCACCGGTAATGCGTGCCCATCTCCGTACTAGAAGGGCCCTCCTGAGGGAGGACATCGTGACTTTGTCCAGGGCTTGCTTGTTCAGAGCGTGTTTTTCACTGAGGCCGAGTAGGCTGGGACTCCAGCTCTTTCAAAGCACAAAAGCTGGAATTTTAAAAGATGCTTACCAAACAGTCTCCATATCTTATTTTTGTTAGTCTGGAAAATAGCTGTTTCTCTCCTATTCAAATCAAATTTGAAAATTAGCTCAATAAGCTAAATATCCATTTTATGGTATAAAATAATTTAGGAATGCTCCCATAGCCGTTCTCCTAGTTAAAACTCGGCAAGCTCCTTCCTAAACCCTCTTCGACGAGAGGACTTGCCGGGTGAGGCAGCGTGTTGCGGGAAGCCCCACCTTCCTGCTGAGTTGCTGTTGCCTTAGCGGAGTTCCCCAGGACCTTGGAGAGCCAATCTACTCATCTCTAAGGTGGGGACCGTAGCACCGCTCGCTCTGACGGCTCTCAGAAGGCCAGCGCATAAGCCAGGAGCAAATGTCAGCATTTCCTTACCTCTTTATAAAGCACTCTGTGGGCATAAGATACTGAGCTGGTAACACAGGGAGTAAAAGGCATATTTGTGGTTCCCGTGATGGGGAGCAAGGAAGCGAAATGTCTTTTTAATTAATTTATCAAGGTTATTTTCTGTGCAGTGTCATGAGCTACTTGGCCTCTGAGTTCTTCCTTCTAACTAGCTATAAATCAATTTAGTGCTGGTTTACTTAGCTTTTAGAATAAGACAAACTTGGCTAAACCAGTACTAACCAGAATTCTCAAATCCTAAACTTAACAGTGAAGTTTGATTAATTTCACGGCAACCTTAGATTCATGTGAAATGCCTTTTCTTTCAAACATGTGGCTGAACGATGCTTTTGAGAACTTTGATCCACAGTCCTGTCACAGGTCCCGCCAGGCCTCCTGTGGAAATGGCAGCTCCTGGCGTCAGAAGATGTGGGTCTTTCTGGTCCGTGTTTTAGGGACACATGCCCGTTGCTGGGTCTGTAGAGACAGATGTTTAGGGGAGCAGGCTACCATGTAGAACTTAAGGACTCCATAGTTTTGAATGCTTTAAAATGATTTCCATTGTAAGCACAGCGAATCTAGAAAATTTAGAGTGCGAGGAATGTAGAAAGCTTCCCCGTCCCGTCGCTTCTGGTTACTTCACCAAGCACTGACTCCAAGAAATGGCAGCGCCTCTCCTTCTAGACTGTTCTTCACGTTACTCCCATTACGTGACTGTGACCTAGTGGTTCTTTTCTATTGCACATTTGTTGTCTGCAAGTACCTGCTCATCCCTGTCATGAAGAACATGTGCTTGGCTTTTCAAGGAAGGCTGGTCCTCCCCTAACAGTGCTCACTGCTGCCCCAGGGTTTACCTGACGGTCCCCACATTGCTAGTGAGCATTCATGACTGAAAGACTTGTTTGTTTCTCTCATATCTGAAAATGTAATGCATTCCTTCCTGGCGTTGTTTTCTATTGAACACTCAATTTCACTGGTATCTGGTTAATCAAAGATTTATGTAAAGCATCTTGGAGAAGTCATCGATGATCACCTTTACTAATGGACAACAAAGCCACGCTCACTTTCGTTTGTTGAATAACATATAAATTATAGTGACAGAACTGACCAAAAAAAAACAAACAAAAAAACCAGGAAATAGCTTTCTGGGCTCTCATCTCATCTGGAAAGATTCACAAGGGAACCAAAAATCAATACAAAGGAAAAATGAAAGGGTTGTAGATAAGTGCACCATCTTCGTCAAGACAAGGTTTTCCTACGTTGGGGTACAGGATAAATTCTACTGCTTGCTGTCTTCTAAAGCACTGGGGCCGTCACTAGGCACATGTGCCTGCTGTGCAATCGCGATGAATGAGCCCGGGAGACGTGCCCAGTGAGAGGTGATGGTAACTGCAAAGTTATTTGCTGGTTTACGCCCCTGGGGGCTGAGAGCTCTTAGATTGCTTTTCTGAAAGATCACAGAGCAAAATAAAATTTTTAAAACCCCATGTTTCTAGCAATAAGGAAGCTCAAGGGAGTTAAATGAGTGAGCACTTGATGTAAAGGGAGAAAGCAGATTTTTTTCAAAAACGGTGACCCCAGTTACATAAGAACCCCAAACTCAATGCTGGAGCCATGTTTGAGACTGCAGTAGAGTATTTGTTAGGTGGATTTGTGATTCCAGGCGCAGAATTCATGGTTTCCTGTTTTTCGCAGATGCTTTGTCAGAAGGTCTGCTGGGCATCGTTGCAAACATGTCTGGATGCCTGCCGTACATGCTGCCGCCAAAATGCCCAAACACTTGCCTGGCCAACAAATACAGACTCATCACAGGAGCGTGCAACAACAGGTATTGTGATGTTCCTAACCTTCTCGCGAACGTTGGCTCTGAACATGACTAGATGCCATCATGCAGGAACCTCTCCGTCCACGGGTGGATCAGCACCCGGCCCTGAGCGCCCAATTCCTGCCCTCGACTCCCCGCCGCCACCCACTGCAGGCCTGGGGGTGCCTCAGCAGCGTACCAAGCAGCAGTCATTCCAGCCGCAATGCCCCATGCACGTAGAGGCTTACAGGGCACTCTTAACTTCCTAAACCCATAAATGCCACCGCCATTCACTTAACTTCCAAAACCTACAAATTCCACCACCTTTCGCCTAATAGCTCAAGCCACATGCTTAAGGGCCATCCTTGATTCCACTAACTCCCCTACCCGTTGTCTCCAATGCGCCCCCAAGACTCTCTTTTACCTCCAAAATGAGTCCTCTCCACTCCTTGCCACCTTAGCCGAAGCTGAGATAATCCTCCAGCTGCCATCATGCGGCGGTCCCCTCCCTGGCTCTCCTGATGTAACTTACTTTCATCGTTTGCGCTCCCTGTCGTGGCCCACACCATCTCAGTGCCCTCCTTCCCTACGCCCTCCCTCAGTCCCCACTGCACTCGGAGTGAGCTCAGATCCGCCCACCTTGCTGGGTCCAAGGTAGCAGCAGGTGAACAGGAGCTCTGGCCACACAAAGAGCTGTGGGATTCAGTCTGGGGTTCAGAATGGTTTTCTGAAGGTGGTGATATGGGATTGAGGCAAATCTTAAAGGATGAGTGGGGATTTCCCAAGTGGCCCACAGAGTAGGGGAGAGGGCTTTGCAAAGGCTGGAAAGAGCTGGACATGTTTGGGCTGAAACACACAGCCTTTGGCACACACAGGGCGGGGGGGCAGCAGCCGGGGTCGCGGCGCCCATGGGGTCTGGGGAAGCAGTGCATCCTGGGATCACCTAGAAGCTTTGTCAGAATCTTGTGGCACCAGGGTGACTGCAGGCTTGGCATTCACCGACGCACACAGCAAAGTTGCTTAGCATGGAAGAGCTCCTCGAAGGGACTCCCGCTCCTGGCTGCTGGGTGTGCTGAGGTCAGAAGGAAGACATCCCGCTCCCCTGAGAGAGGAATCAGCAGGACCCAGGCAGAGCTCTGGCCTGGACCAGCAGTGTCCTGAGACAGAGTGCAGGGGCTTTGGGACAATGAACGGGAGTCGGAGTCCTGGGTGTTTGATGGTGGTTAAGAACAGCAGCTTTGTAACGGGACGGCCCTGGATTTGAAAACCGAATTGCCACCTAGCAGAGGGCAGTTTGTTCCATTCTCTGAGCAGTAGGAGTTTGAGCGTAAAGACCCAAGGCAGGAACACATAACCTGGCCACACCTAAGGACCAGATCTTAGGACCGTGGAGCCCCAGCTGTAAGAGACCCTGTGCTGAATGCGGACCACACAGGAGCCTGCTGTCCACCCCTCCTGCCCCGAAGCCTGGGAGGTCTGTGCTTACCCGGGAAAGCAAGCTCAGAGCTGAAGATGGCAGGTCTCCTGTCCGCAGAGCTCAGTGGGAGACACAGGTGTAGACAAAGGATGCACAGAAGGAGGTGATGCCTGGGAGTACAGGACACTGAGATGGCTGGTGGGATGCACGGCTGGAGAGACCAGGCCCCGGGGGAGGAGGGGTGGGGCTGGAGGGACTGGGCTGGGTGGAGGAGGGGTGGGGCTGGTGGGACTAGGCTGGGTGGAGGAGGGGTGGGGCTGGTGGGACTAGGCTGGGTGGAGGAGGGGTGGGGCTGGAGGGACTGGGCTGGGTGGAGGAGGGGTGGGGCTGGAGGGACTGGGCTGGGTGGAGGAGGGGTGGGGCTGGTGGGACTAGGCTGGGTGGAGGAGGGGTGGGGCTGGTGGGACTAGGCTGGGTGGAGGAGGGGTGGGGCTGGAGGGACTAGGCTGGGTGGAGGAGGGGTGGGGTTGGAGGGACTGGGCTGGGTGGAGGAGGGGTGGGGCTGGAGGGACTGGGCTGGGTGGAGGAGGGGTGGGGCTGGAGGGCCAGGGTGGAGGAGGGGATGAGGCAGGTGCACTGTTAAGCCAGAGACCAGACTGAAGATGGCTTGGACTACACGGGGAGGAGTAAGGTCTTCGGCAGGGCAGAGCGGGCTCTAATCTGCAGGTGCATGTGAGGCTGCGGGACCCCTGGGGACCTTGATGTTGAAGGTATGGGGTGGGGCTGCTCTCTGAATGGGTTTCGGGTGCTGTTTGCTTTTCTCTTCCACATACTTCTGATTTTATTAAAGAAACGTAAGACACTGAATTCTGCATTCCTAAGCACGATTATCTTGAGAATCAGGGAGTCTTCATACTTCCTGAATGTGTTCAACACCTCGGGCATATCTTAAACAGCAGACAGTGTTAACACGTCTCACAGCAGAGGGCATTGGCAAGTCTGTGGTGGTTCATCTTTTCTCTGCAGCCTGAGACCTGTTAGTGCCAAAATCCACCAGGACCAAGCTCAAATTTATACATGTCCAACTGAGATAAAAATAGCCCAAATGAGCAGAGTTTAAGCCACCTGGAACCTACCTCTTTGCAGCTTCCACAAAACCTCTCCCAGCATTGGTAAGACACAGCCTCCCGGTCATCAGACCCCAGGTCACTGCTTCCTCTGCAGTCGCCTGCCCAGAGACTCCCCCTCGACCTTACCATGTTGCCGAGTAATCAGCAGACACGGAGACCCCCTGATACCCCACCGTGAGTTCCTCGCCACCCATCCCTCACCTTAGCCTCTGGATGGCCCCTGCCTTGAAGAATGCCCCCTCTTCTGCACCTATGCCCAAGAACCACCGCAAAGGCATGCGTGCCTCTCTGCCTCCCCCCGTCCTATCTTTTGCCTTCCCCAGCCCTGAGTTCCCACAACTTCCCCCATGCTCACTAAATTGCTAAGTTCCCCTCCAGCGGCCTCTTAAGCTTCTTCAGTGTCCCTCTCAGTGACCAGCCCCTGCCCACCCACACCTTCCCAGCCTTGCCTGGGTTGCTTTGGACTCACTAGGATCCTTCCTGCCCCGGGGGAGGTGCCCTGGCCTCTCCGGGCACCCGAAGACTAGCTAGGACCCTTCCTGCCCCGGGGGAGGTGCCCTGGCCTCTCTGGGCACCCAAGGACTAACTAGGACCCTTCCTGCCCCAGGGGAGGTGCCCTGGCCTCTCCAGGCACCCAAGGACTAACTAGGACCCTTCCTGCCCCGGGGGAGGTACCCTGGCCCCTCCGGGCACCCAGAGACTAACTAGGACCCTTCCTGCCCCGGGGGAGGTGCCCTGGACTCTCCAGGCACCCGAGGACTAACTAGGACCCTTCCTGCCCTGGGGGAGGTGCCCTGGCCTCTCTTGGCACCCGAGGACTAACTAGGACCCTTCCTGCCCCAGGGGAGGTGCCCTGGCCTCTCCGGGCACCCGAGGACTAACTAGGACCCTTCCTGCCCCGGGGGAGGTACCCTGGCCCCTCCGGGCACCCAGAGACTAACTAGGACCCTTCCTGCCCCGGGGGAGGTGCCCTGGACTCTCCAGGCACCCGAGGACTAACTAGGACCCTTCCTGCCCTGGGGGAGGTGCCCTGGCCTCTCTTGGCACCCGAGGACTAACTAGGACCCTTCCTGCCCCAGGGGAGGTACCCTGGCCCCTCCGGGCACCCAGAGACTAACTAGGACCCTTCCTGCCCCCCTTCCATCACCACAATTACTGCAGTACTGTGTCTCACAAAAGTGGCACGTGGATAGAATCCATCACCGCCATAGTGGCTGTGAGTGGATTCCTACTGCTAAATTGGGATACAACTTACTCAGGGCTGGGTGTGAATCTGGAGGCACAGGTAGCCGAGTCTCCCAAGGGCCTGCACCCCCAGATGCAGATGGAGGACTTTACACCCCAGAGGCTGCTTTCTGGCCCCTCCCAGATTTTGAGGCCTCCCCAGAGGTGACCACTGTTTTGATCTTCATCACCATAGCTGGTTTTTCCTGAGCTGGCTTTTCCAGGAAGGAAATTAAATTGTAATTACTGGGCGTGGCTTCCCCACCTCCACTCACCATGGGACTTTAGTTGCTCCTGGCTTGCTGAGGTAGATGGGGGAGGCATGGGCACCTCTGCTCAGCACTGATCAGAGCTGCCAGTGGCTGCTCCAATCTGCATTCCCAGGAGCAAAGTGTAAGAGCCCCACAGCCCTCACCAATACCTTCACTGTAAGCCCTTTCATTTAGAGTCCTTCTTGAGGGGAAGGTGGCATTTCCTGTGGTTTAACTTTACATTTTCCTGATGACTAATTATCCTGAGTACTTTTAAAATACATTCGTTGGCCATTTGGAGACCCTTTTTGGGGATGTGCCAGTTCAAACATTTTTTCCATTTTTTATGGGTCTTTTTTGATTTATAGATACTCATATTCATATTTTCTAAATAAGTCTTGTAGTGAGAAATACGTTTTACAAATATCTTCTTGCAGCTGAGATTGGCCTTTTCACTCTCTATGCTGCTTTTAAAAAAAAGTTGTTTATATTTTTAATGAAGTCCCATTTATCAATTGCTTATTTCATGTCAAGAAAACTTCTTTTGTTGTGTTTAAGAATCTTGCTTTCTCTGAAGGATGTGAAGATATTTTTCTTGTGTTTTCTCCAGAAAAACATTACTGTTTGCATGTCACATTTAGATCTGTGATCCATCTGATTTAATGTTTTGTGCAACATATGAGGTGGCAACCAAGCTGTGTGTGTCTGTGTGTGTGTGTGTGTGTCTGGGTGTGTGTGTGTGTGTGTGTGTGTGTGTGTGTCTGGGTGTGTCTGGGTGTCTGTTTATATTGTAAACCAAAAATAAAATTCTAAGGTCTCCTGGTCATCTGAATTGACCTCTCATCTCAGCAAGGGCATTCCAAAGCTAAGCTGAAAAACTAATTCAGAGTATGATGGGAAGAGGGTGGTCAGACGTGCCTCATTACACCCCCTCCATTTGGGAATTACTGCTGGAACAGACTTGTTAACTCCAAGAACAAACATTTGCAATTGATTCTGTCT